TTGTACTTAGAAAGTGTTGACATAAACATATAATTATCGAAGGATTAAGACCTTTAAAACAATAGTAAGAAGAGACTTAACAGATCAACCACTTAGTTGCCAGCATGTCATAATTTGACTGACAGGTTAATTGCTGTATGACTAACCAAGCATTAATGAAAATTAAAATATATACTTAAAATTTAAAACAGAATTGACAAATAATAAAATAACAAAACAACATATGACCTAGACATCGGTCATAATAGTTAAAAAAAATCGATAATGTAAGGGAAATTTGCTGAAAATTTCATTCAAATTGATCCTCTATGAACCGAGAACAAAGTGATTGAATTTCCGCCTAGCCTTGATTATCATTACTAAAGTCAGTACGATAAACAGCATAGTCTCGATTATCCATTTAATTGTTAGATTATGAAGGAAAGTTATGCAGTAAATCGGCTTACAATCCACTAAAGATCACAGGCTAGCAATGTCATCTAGAGTTGATTATGGTCTGGATAAGTTAATTAATATCTAATTAATAATTTAGATAACATTTCAGGCCTAAAGAAAGATCTGCAATAGGCAGATTTAGCTCTTGCATAATGTATGTTTAATGAAACAAAGCAATATTTCGTTAAGGGTTCTCTCAATGTCGCTTTAATTAAAACAGTAATTATGTTCCATATTACATGTATCATGTGTGTCAATTGCTAAATGCCGCTCGAAGAATATATTTTATCTAGAATGGACATTGTAAACCAAATTGTTGGACTCCATCTAGAATGTGATCATGTGTAAGATATAAGTACATTGTATATAAATGTTTTATCTATGTTAATAGAGTTTGTACCAGTCTCTACAATCATATCAACTATATGTAATATGGTAATCGTTAAGATTTGGCTAACTGATAAAACACTAATTAAACACTCGTTAACTCACTTTCTTAATTAGTTTATAAAGTCTTACGTGATCAAATATCACAGACGAAAAAGATGTAATTGTAATGAAATCTGGATGAATGTATAAAAATCCAGTTCGTTGAAGCATAGTTAGAAAAACTTTGAACTAAATTTAAATTAACACAATAGTTACTACTTTTAATTAACAACCAACCAAGTCCAATATTTGTTTGAAGTTAAACATTCTATGTGATCAAACCAGTACAGTGGTTACAATCAATGCACACATCTTTTGAAAACTTCAAAAGCTAACATCTTCGCTCAAAATAAAGCAATTTGAATAAAATTTTCAATATATTCATTTTGGATTATCTGTTTGAACTATTATGGCAGGAACGGCCAGCTCCTTATAGAAATCTTACACAATGTGTTTTTAAAGGCTCAATACCACTCTTGTTGTAACTGAATAATATGTCCCAATCTTTATTCTGGTCAACAAATAGTACTATTTTACAATATTCCAATTAATTGATGATACAAATTTCATCTTAACACACGTAATTTAAAAAATTAGAAAAATTCAACTTAATGATTTGAAAAGCCTGACGTAAAACTTTTCAAATGTGACTTGGATTTGAAAATATTTTTGAACCCTCTGGACAAGTAAAATAGGATTTAATGGATAATTTACACAACAGGTAGGACACTTACACATAGTACTTAGAATAAGGCTATTTTTTATTTTCTGGAGCTTTCAAGCCAGCAAGAGTGTTATTGTCCCTTTAACCTGTGAGAATTACAGGCATATTCAACAGTAACGTTATTATAAACTTTTTGTGAGTTCCAAAGCTGTAGATAAATTTTAAAAATATTATGGTCACTGCAAGATAAAACAGAACACGACTTTAGATGCTGGGCAGTAACTGTAACTGTCTGGACAACTTTTTTAAACTCAACGTGAATTTTGTCATATTATGATTTTGAGATACAAATCTATTGATTGTGAAATTTCCGATTCATCATTCACCATGAATACAATACAAGCAAATGTGGACACCGGACATGTCAAACGGACGGGGGGCGAGGGCAATATACTACCACATTTCAATGTGGGCATGCAAAAACGAAACTGGACTAACTTTGGACTAATAGAGCTAATTTGTAAATGACTAACAGCTGATTTAATGAAGATGACAAAATTTGTCATCAATAAAAGAAATCAGCTCTTCTCGTCTTCAAAGTTCAAATAGAGTACATGTAGATACGACAAGAATAATGGGGATCAAATTTCAGATAAGAATCTCAGGGTTTTTAACCTCACCCTGAAGTTCATAGTATAGTGTTTATTGTTACCTTATAAATGGTGTTTAGTTTAAAATGGCCACCGGTGGCAGTCTCTCGGGTGACACATGAGACTAATGGAAGGTCATGGGGTAAAATAAAAACTTTCAGTAAACATGTTATAAAGATGTTGATGGGATAACAGAGAGAGAGAGAGAGACAGATAGAGAGAGAGAGAGGGGGAGAGACAGAGAGAGAGAGAGAGACAGAGAGAGAGAGAGATGACACAAAGTCATTTCGGGAGTAACATTAGGTATAATGAGTACCCAGAGAAAACCCATGAGCTTGTCACATACATGTACAAGGTTGGGATTGAAACCATGTCACTTGATTCAATGACAGACCTTATGATCTAAAGCAGAGAGAGATAGAGAGGGAAATGGGGTTTAATGTCCACTCGACACAAACTAGGTCATTTTGGGACTAACACATGGTTCAATTTTATTTCAATAATTCGTTTGCGCGTAGGGGTCTTTAGCAGTGGGAGGAAACTGGAGGACCCAGAGAAAACCCAAGAGATTGGGCAGACAACCCTACTCCTTGTCACGTACAACCAGGGATTAGAAACCACGGCAGTTGACTCAATGACAGACTGTATGATACAGTGCGCACACATGCTAATCATTCAGCCATCCAACCCCCCATGATCCAAAGCAAAGGGCTCTGAACCCCTTGTTAGACTTATAACATCCTAGTTTCACTTATCAACTATATATTTATGGGCTGTTTTGGGTATTAGAAGGAGTTTCTCGTCTACAGATTTGAAGGTCTAAGAGTTTTAACATGGGAAACCATCACATAATATAAGAAAGCTGGCGGAGAGAATTCTTGCTCCCATTACTGGTAACTGTATTGAGTACCTGATTATAATCACCTATGGGTCTTTAGCAGAAAATGAAATGAAATGGGGTTTAACGTCCTACTGTTCTGCTCCAAACTGAACTAATGAAGACAGCGGGTCTTTAGCAGTGGGAGGAAACCTACAAGCTTGAGATGGAAACCATACTGGACTCAATTACACACCTTACGATCTAAAGCACATGTTAGCCCATTCGACCCGATCCAACCCGACCCCCATTTTAGTTGTACCTGTATGATACCAGTACAAGAGATGGAGTAAAAGAAACTTAGAAGCCATTCAATCTAAAAATCATTACATTTAATGAGAAATTCTAACTGGATGTTGCACGGCTCCTTAAATTACTATTAAATAATTGGTTGAGAATTTAATCTTGTTGTAATAGATCTGATGGAATAAAATGAGGTTAGAGCTCAGATGTTCAAACATGGTGTACATGTAGATCTTCATTAGGTGAATGCCTTGACTGAATATGATGATGACCATTATCTGCTTGGGTCAAGCAGAGATAATAGCCATTTGACTGGTTGATGATTTGGTACATGATAACTTTGATTCTAATTAAGTGAGTGTGATAATCCTGGTGTACACGACTACACATATCGTTACAATACATCAATACCTTGACTAAGTTCGTTGATGGTGAGCAGTTTCTGCATAGGTTAAGTAGAGATTGTTTATGAAACAAATAACGCTCCTTTCTAATTGAGGTAGAATGTTCCAACTTCGTGTAGGCATTTATTAGGTGACAGAGTTCAATGATAAGCATTTTCCACTAGGAGTATGCAGATATAAACAATTTGATTGGTCACGAGTCTAGAGCTCGATAACTTTGATTCTAATGGAGGGATAGAGGTGAGTGAATGAAATGGGGTTTAACGTCCTACTCTTCTGCTCTTACTGGGCTAATGAAGATGGGCATACGTCATACAGTGTGCTATGAGGGAAATTTTGCCTGGACAGCGGCGCTACGGCTTACCCTTCGTTTGAATTAAAAGTGTCAAGAGTTCTTCTATGTGCACGCCAATGTGTATACAGGATCCCTGTTTTTTGTCTCATTCGAATGACTATGCATTGTCCCTTGCCAGACCCTCTGTCCTACACTACTGACAAGAGGGAATCATGCTGGAAAATCCTAATGAACTTGCTGAGATTCCCCGTTTGTACGTGACAAGGAGTAGGGTCGCCTGTCCAACCTTGTGGGTTTTATCCGGGTCCTCCGGTTTCCTCCCACAGCTAAAGACCCCTACGTGTAAGCGAATTATGGAAATAAAATTGAACCATATGTTAGTCCCGAAATGACCTAGTTTGTGTGAGTGGACATTAACCCACATTTCTCTCTCTCTGTCTCTCTCTTTACTTGCTGAGCCACCGTGGCTCCCTGTGAGAGTGGTGAATCTGGGTGTATAGTTTCATTACATCAATATCAGTTAACTGATTCTCTCATACATGTACACTATTAAATTACAATCTATAAAAATATAACTGCACATGTTACCATTACAACTCAAGTCCATGGCTGCACATACAATGTATACACATTTAGTCATGAATTATTCATGTGTTATAAACTTATGTACATACCCAATGTACAAATCAATGTATATTCAATTACAACAGTAGGCTGTAAATAAAAACCTAGCCATTTATAGGTCTGTTAGACTTGGCCTTTATACTGATCTAAAGATTAACAGCAAAATGACTTAACCTTTAAGTACATGTATAAATTTCAGACTCAGAAAAAAAAAATAGGTTGCTATTCATTATCTACTGAATAGGGTTATTGAATGAGATCTGGACTAAAAAAATGGATGGACTTGATGATCTAGACTTAAACAGGATATGAGGTAATTTGAATGCAATAAGATATACATGTACATTTAGATTTAATCTTTGACTTGTTATACATGTAGACACCACCTCCAGTTAAAATCTGTCTGTTTAAGCAAAAAGATGGAGAATAAATGTGTACCTGTTGTTGTGGGTGTAGATGTGGGTGGGACTAACACAGATGCTGTGGTTATTGCTAAAGACCAGGAACGACCAGTTGTTTTAGCTGCTGTAAAAGAACCAACCACAAGCGATGTTACAACTGGGGTGAAGGATGCCATCTTTTCTGCTCTCAAATCAACGCATGATAACGGCCAGAAGGTGGCAGTAGTTCAAGTAAACATCGGAACTACTCATTTTGTCAATGCAGCTGTCCAAGGAAAGGGTCTCGCAAAAGTAGGAGTCATTCGACTTTGTGGATCGGTTTCCCATGCCTTACCACCGTTTAGCGATTTCCCCAAAAGACTTGCGGATATAATTTGTGGTTCTGTTCATATGTTGAAAGGTGGATATCGATATGATGGCCGTATCATAGATGAAATTGATGAGAACGAAATTAAAGAAGTTGTCCAAATTTTGAAAGACAAAGCCATCACCTGTATAGTTCTATCCGGCATCTTTTCCCCTATACGCCCTGATCAGGAATGTCAAGTAAAGGATATAATCTTGAGGGAATACCCAGAAGCAAGTCTGACTCTTTCAAATGAAATAGGACACATTGGTCTACTGGAGCGTGAGAATGCTGCAATCTTAAACGAGTGTTTGAAACCTTTGTGTCAAATAACGATAAACGGCTTCCTGGCGGCACTAAAAGACTTGGGGTTAAAATGTCCTTTGTACCTCACACAGAATGACGGAACTATTATGAGCGCAGACACAGCTCTCGATTATCCCATTTACACTTTTGCATCGGGTCCCACGAACAGTATGCGTGGTGCAGCTTATTTATCAGAGTTAAAGGATGCCATTGTGGTGGATATTGGTGGAACTACAAGTGATGTTGGATTGCTGAAAAACGGATTCCCTCGTCAGGCTTCGACAAAGGTTAAAGTTGGTGGTGCAAGAACAAACTTCCGAATGCCGGATGTTCTCAGCATCGGACTGGGTGGTGGATCTTATGTTGAAGCATGCTACAATGATGACAAAACTGTTAAACATGTATCAGTTGGTCCATTAAGCGCTGGATACAATTTACAGAACGAAGCTTTTATCTTCAGCAGCAGGGACAATAGATCCTTGCGGAACCTCACTGCAACCGATATTGCTGTCGCAGCTGGTATGGCAAGTCTTTGGGATCCCACTTCAGTTGGTGACCTTAGCAAAGAATTAGTCAAGTCTGCTATAGACAGAATACATCAAATGGTAGAAGAGGCAATCGACAAGATCAAGTTGAGCAACGAAGAACTTCCTGTTATTCTAGTTGGAGGTGGGAGCATACTGATTGATCCTAAACGCCACATAGCTGGTGCCAAGAGTGTAATACTGCCGGAGAATTTTGGGGTGGCAAATGCTATTGGAGCTGCATTGAGTCAAGTCTCGGGACGAGTGGATTATGTATGTAGTCTTCTTGATATGGTAGATTGTGACGCTATGGCTAAAAAGATAGAGGAAGCTGTCAAGGCAGTCACAGATGATCCCGATGGTAAAGAGACTGAAATCGCTAGGGAAAATGCCCAGAAACCGTTTTTTGTTAATGCACGGGATAAAGCCACGGACGAAGCATGTGAGAAAGCTAAAGCTGCCACCATCAAATCAGGGGCAGATCCATCTTCTTTAACGATTACAGAAAAGGAATATTCCACTATATCCTATATTCCAGGACAGGCCATACGTATCAAGATCACAGCAGTTGGTAATCTAGCAGACTTGAAGAAGACTGGCACCCCATATGAAGCGTGGATGCCAAATGCATCCACCTCTCAATCAGACACAAAATCTGCTGTTAAGCTTACAAAACAAGGAACAACTTCTATGGGAAATAAACTCTCATCAACAGCTGACCTTGAAGATGCAACGCAAACACCATCTGAACCCTACATAGATCCTGCATCTGGTGAATGGATTTTGTCACTCTGGGACATTGAATGTATTGTTGTAGGAGCAGGCATATTTGGATGTGGAGGTGGGGGTAGTCCTCATATTGGAAGACTGAGGTCATTGGAAGCAGTTCGGAAAGGAAAGAAAATTCGCATTATATCTCCGGAACGCTTGTTGAGAAACGCTGATCCTGATAATGACTTGGTTGTGGTTGTCTCTTTTATGGGAGCCCCCTTGATTATGTACGAACAGCTTGTATCTTCTGTTGAAATAACTGGTGCACTAAAAGCTATGGAAGAACTTTATAACATTGGTGGTTACGAGGACGGTAAACTGAAAAATACGGAAGGTGTTGAGGTTAAAAGTAGAGCTGGGATGACCTTTATAGAGGATTACCAACCCAAAACCGATATATCAACCACAACCGGCAATATAGGAGGAAAGAAAATAATTGCTTTGATGTCAGCTGAAATTGGAGGAATGAATGCCATAGAACCTTTTCTTGTTGGAGCTGATCTTGATATACCTATTATTGATGCAGATTGTATGGGAAGAGCCTTTCCAGAACTACAAATGTTTTGCCCTTATATGTATGGTGTGTCCCCCTATCCAGCAACTTTAGTTGACGACAGAAACCGAAGAGCTGTGATGCTCCAGACTCCTTCAGCCAAGCATCTTGAGCATCATTTCAGAGACACAGTTGTTGAAATGGGTTGTTCTGGTGGAATGGTGGATTCAGCTCTCCGTAAAAATGATGTTTACACAAAAACAATTTTATACTCGGTCAGTCATGCTTGGAGGTTGGGTAATGCTATTCTGCGGGCCAGATTGGAGAAGATTTCGCCCATAGATGCTATTCTGGCAGAGGAGAATTCGAAGCATATTATGACCGGCAAAGTTCAAGACGTTCAAAGGGAGACAACAGCAGGCTTTAATAAAGGTCGATTGATTATCGAAGGGTTGGAGAAGTTTATGAACCAACGTCTTCTGATTGAATTCCAGAACGAAAACTTGGTGGTTCTACAGTTAGCTGAAGATGGTAAAACTATTGTAGGTGATGCTTTAGCATGTGTTCCAGATTTAATTATGTTGGTGGATGCCGATACATGTGAACCTATCACCACAGAGGAAATGAAATACGGAATGAGGGTAGCAGTTGTTGTACTAGCATCGCATGCCTTACTCAGAACAGAAACTGCCCTTCGCTTTGTCGGTCCTCAGGCATTCAGATATCCAGATACTGTGAAATTTCAGCCATTTGCTGATGCTAAAATTACCAAACCGATTCCACCACTTTAAAAGATACGATGTATTAGCTTTCAATTTTCCAAAACATTTTAAGTCTGACAACCTTATCTCAAATATATTTAGAAAAAAAAAAAATATTGGGGCATCTTCTGTGTTACATGTATACCCATACATGTACATTTAACTGGGATAGAAACCATGCCATCTGACTCAATGACAGACACTTTGACATAAAGCACATGTGTTAGACCGCTTGGCCACCCAAACCCCAATAAGCATGCATTAAAGATATATTATGGGAGATTCAATAACGAGTTGTTAGTTCTCACTATAATAGTTAAAAACTAGATAAAGTAAAGGCAATTTGCTGAACATTTCATTCAAATTGATCCACTATGAACCGAGAACTAAACGAATGAAATTTCTGCCTAGCCTCGGTCATCATTACTAAAGTCAGTACGATAAACAGCATAGTCTCAATTATCCATTTAATCGTTTAATCAAGAAGGAAAGTTATGCAGTAAATCGGATAACAATCCATTTGAGATCGCAGGCTAGCGATGCCATCTAGAGTTGATTATGGTCTGGATAAGTTAATTAAAGTCTAATTAATAATTTAGATAACATTTCAGGCCTAAAGAAAGACTGAAATAGACAGATTTAGACCTTGCATAATGTATGTTTAATATACCTCTCAGCCAAAGAATAGAAATTTAGCTCCTTAAATTATTTTTGTCCAAATACATGTTTTTATTTGAATAGAGTACATAATATACATCAACTTTTAACCATATACAAAGTCTTAAAGCCCTAGGCTTCTGGAGTGGGGTCGCCTTTCCAACATTATAGGTTATCTCTGGGTAATCAGGTTTCCTCTGGTGTGGTTTCGATTCCCCGGTTGTCCGTGACAAGGAGTGGGATCGCCTGTTCAACCTGATGGGTTTTCTCCGGGTAATCGGGTTTCCCCCCACTGCTAAAGTCCCCTACACGCAAGCGAATTATTGAAATAAAATTGAACCATGTGTTAGTCCCAAAATGACCTAGTTTGTGTTGAGTGGACGTTAAACCCATCTCTCTCTCTCTCTAAATACAAGTACTAGTCTGTACCAGTAATAGCAACAATGTAACAAGATAAAGTGTTCTATTTATGATCCGTGATCAATAATATCATGTATTGATCTATAAAAATATTGATTTTACACTATACTTTATATCATATTATATTTTATTCATAAAATTATTGACAGGATAATTATTACAGATAGTTTGTTTTTTACCAGAAACTGTATGAGTGTATACATTATCTTATTAATCCTTAAGGGGGGTTGGATGGCTGAATGGTTAGCACGTGCGCGCTGTATCATGAGGCCTGTCATTGAGTCAACTGGCATGGTTTCGAATCCCTGGTTGTACGTGACAAGGAGTAGGGTTGCCTGTCCAACCTCGTGGGTTTTCTCCGGGTCCTCCAGTTTCCTCCCACTGCTAACACTAGGGACCGGGTATCATTCAGATTTGATGAAAACAGGAAAGAAACTGAGCTTACTATCTATAATCTAATACACATATTCAGTTAATAGATTGCCATGCAGAAAGTGTTAAATACCATCAAGATTCATCAAAAAATGCCCAGTTTGTGCTACCGTTTAGTTTGACATTGGTTGTCTAGTTTATGAAACTAAATGGTCATAAACTGGATGACCAATAACAAAACTAAACGGTCATAAACTAGATGACCGATGTCAAAACTAAATGGTGTTTCTTAAACTAAAAGGTAGCACAAACTGGGCGTTATTTGATAAATCTTGATGGTATTTAATACTTTCTGCATGGCAATCTATTAACTGAATATGTGTATTAGATTATAGATTGTAAGCTCAAGTTCTTTCCTTTTTTCATCAAATCTGAATGAAACCCGGTCCCTAGTGTAAAGACCCCTACGCGCAAGCGAATTACTGAAATAAAATTAAACCATATGTTAGTCCCGAAATGACCTAGTCTGTGTCGAGTGGACGTTAAAAACCCCATTTCTCTCTCTCTCTATTAAACCTTTAGCACTGAGTACATATAAATATAGATTATCCCAGTTCCTTGAAGTAAATGAAATGGGGTTTAATTAACGTCCTACTGTTCTGCTACGACTGGGCTAATGAAGACGGGCATATGCCATACAGTGTGCTATGTGTGAAATTTTGCCAGGGCAGTGACATTATGGCCAACTCTTATATCAAATTTTAACTGCCAGGTGATCTTTTACATGTATACATGGGTCCCCGGTTTTTCATTCCATCTGAACGACTAGACAGCTGTCCTTGTCAGGCCTTCCATCCTGCACCACTGACAAGGAGAAACCATGCCAGAAAATCCCAATGAACTTTCTCGGCCAATGCCCTGGTTCCTTGAGTGGAGCAATTTGACTGAAATTTTCAGCATTTCCCTTGACATAATGTAGTTTTTCACTGTTATAGTGAGAACTGCCAGCTCTTTATCTAATCTTCCATAATGTAACTTTAAAATACCAGGTTTTTTAAAATGAGTATTTCTTGGCTTAGACTGAAGTAATTTGACTGAAATAATTTGACTGAAATTTTTAGCATATTCCCTTTACATTATCTATTTTGTAACTATTGTAGTGAGAACTGCCAGGTCGTTATCTAATATTCCATAATGTATCTTTAACAAATCCTTTGATCACAGATCAGGATAATTGAGATCAAATAATTTTTGTTCTAAATTCATCCATCATGCAGCCTCATATAATTTGATTAGTCATATATGATCTGAATGTTTGACATCAAAAATTACATTTTTATCCCAATCTTAGCAAGGAAAATGTCTAGTTGTTTTGATGGGTTAAAAAATCTGAGGTTCCGCATACTCAATGTTGTGCACATAAGATCCCTTAAAAGTTTGAATTTCGTAATTAGAGATGATCATTATGCCACTGTCCGGGTAAAATATCCCTCATAAGTGCAGTCAGTGCAGGATGGAGGGCCTGACAAGGACAGTTGTCTAGTCGTTGGGATGGGATGAAAAAAACCCACGGTCCCATGTATACATTGGTGTTCAGTAAAAACCCTTAACAGTTAGAATTTGTATATAGAGTCGGTCATAATGCCACTGTTAAGGCGAAAACTCACTTATAAGTACAGTCAGTGTAGGAAAGCAGGAGGTCATTTCTACTTGTAGGTTAATTATTTTTGTAGTGTGTAGTAAACACCATGTACATGGAACTTAGAGAGTACATGTAAATACCATGGCATGTTATATACAGCTGTAAAAATATAACTAGCTTAAATCAGTCACAGCACATAATGTACTTTACACTGCATTTACTTGTAGGTATACATATTCATTGAAATGAAATGGGAGGGGGGATGGCTGGATGGTTAGCATGTAGGTTGTATCATAAAGTCTGTTATTGAGTCAACTGGTGTGGTTTCAATTCCCCAGTTGTAGGTGACAAGGAGTAGGGGTCGCATGTCTAACCTCGTGGGTTTTCTCCGGTTTCCTCCAACTGCTAAAGACACCTATGTGCAAACGAATTATTGAAATAAAATTGAACCATATGTTAGTCCTGAAATGTCCTACTTTGTGTTGAGTGGACAATGCAAACAATCTGCTTCAGTTAACTGGCATTCACCGAATAAACACCTAACACCATGTTTGAATATTCTACAAAAATGTAGCTCAATTAGAAACAGTTTTATTTTGTCCATAAAAGTGCGATGAAAAGACTGAAGCAAAGATTTCAAAAGGTGGGCGGCAATAATGCGTTTAAAAATATCTAAGTGGCAGCCAATACATTTAATCAGCGTAACTGATTTTACCCAGACTTCAAGCCATATAACCACTGTATAGAGGGACTCACGTGGTTCCTATTTAGAAATAAATAGAAACTGATTTTCTGCTACGGCAATTTTCAATCAACCATTTCATTTGTTAATCTATTCATGATTAACAAGCCATACAAATCATCTTTAAAGGGACTCAGTCATCCAGTTAAGGATCAACAACATATCATTTGTGTCCAGTACAAGTTTAGTTAGAGGTTAACAGACCCTTTATGTGCAGTTTAGTTTTATCCCGTCATCCTCCAGCAGGGATCCCACGAGATTCGCTTTCAGTGAGGTGGTCATCAGTAGCTGGTTTGGTCACGAGAGCATGTCATGTAGTACATGTACATAATTATGTTTTATGATCATTGTTTAAGTGACAATATTTTGTCATTATCATATTTTTATTTACAATTTTCACATTGTGGTTTATTTGGGGGGGGGGGTAATAAAAAAAAAAAATCCCCCCCCCCCAAAAAAAACCCCCAACAAAACCCAGATAAACCACAATGTGAAAATTGTAAATAAAAATGAGATAATGACAAATCATTGTAACTTAAACAATGATCATAAAACAGAATTATCTGGTGAACAGGTTTATCTGGTGAACTTAGCATGGTACTAGAACAAAACTATTTTTGATGTGATTTAGATCGTTCTCGACTATCATTCTTTCATAATTTATGAGTTACTAATTAGGCAAAACAGCAGGTGACTACATGTATTGTGGAATGTGAATGCTTGTGTTAAAAAGGGTTAAGATTTTTAAGATCTACAAGTGTTCTATTTTAAGAGGGGGGGGGTCTAGTGGTTTAACATGTCGCATGAAACCATAAGATATGTCATTAATAGCCCGTTCAGACGCTTAAGTTGAACTGGTTTAAAAGCCCTGGGGATCGTTAAATCAGTTTAACTTAAGCATCTGAACGCAAATGTGTGGCAAATAAACCAGTTTAAAAACCCCAGCTTGCGACCTGTCTTCGAGAAGGCTTTTTATTTTAAACTGGTTCATCTTAGCCGTCTGAACCCCGGCTCCAGCTTGCTTTGAGCATGCGCAGTACGCAGTACATGCAAGTTACATTCCTGTGACAATATCGGGGTCAGACAGTGCCAATGTTATCGAAAACGTGCGAGAACCGAATAAAGAATATAAAGCTACCCATGCGTAGTTAAAGTAGCTAAGTCTCTAACTCAATATATCATCCAAAATCTTCAACATTGAAAACACGAATTATTAGTCAGTTTAAATCAACATTGATGCTGTGATCTTACCGAAAAAGATGTGCTTCTGATATCCAATATTTAAGACAAAATAAACATTTTACCATTGGTACACGAATCGTGTACCATAATGCGTTTCAGTCCCAGTTGTAACAAGAGACTCGAGGATCGAGGCTAGACACATTGCACCAAATCAAACGGCGTCGCCATATTCTTATCTGGAGGCCATGCGCAATAAATACTATGTAGACTGGAATAACCAGACGCTAGAAATTTGCATTCGATTGAGACTGCTGGCTTATTTCACCGAACAGAACTGATTTGAAATTAGAGTAAAAACGGAAACCATTGAATGTAAATCAGTTTATATACATTCATATTACAGTATTATATGCGTTGCGACCCAATTGTGTCAATTTCTAGGTCCCAAATGTTAGCGATTTAGCTCCTTTAACTCTAACCTCCGACTGAAGAGGTCAGAATAGTTAAACTGGTTTTACTTATAGTACGTGTGAAAGCAACACGCTGCTGTCTTAAAAACCCCAGCGATTATGAACTGGTTTAAAAATAAGCGTCTGAACGGGCGATCAGTCAAGTGGCGTGGTTTCGGTTCCCAACTTGTATGTGAAAAGGAGTCGTGTCCTCTGGTTTCCTCCCACTGCTAAAAGACCCCCACAAGCAAGCAAATTAGTGCAATAAAATTGACTCTCTCTCTCTCTCCCTTTCTTCTATTTTAAAGAGACTACCTGTTTTCAACTTAAACAAAACAATCATAGAACCGTGGAACCATCTCCATTGTACACAAAAAAACATAAACATAACACTGGGTATTCTAGTCTATATATTCAATACATGACTAGATAATCAAGTCTCTAACAACCTTTTTGATGTAATCATTTATATTCACATAAACAGTTGGTGGTTCCATTTCTTGATGAAATCAATTTTTGTTTTTGTTTGAAGGTTTTTACAAAATACTTGAAGCCTATAGCTAGCATCCGTTAACAATATGGTAACATGTTGTGTCAACTTTGATAAACTGATAAAATATTTACATCATCTTGATAAAATTCAAGAAGAAGGTACATGATATGAGTTGGGGTTTTACATTTAAATAAAGTCTACAGGGGGTTGTAAGGCTGAATGGTTAGCATGTGTGCGCTGTATCATAAGGTCTGTCATTGTGTC